AAATGATTCATGCAGCTAGTAAAGGAACTACGGGTGGAGTCTCACTACACTACAAGTAAAGCAAGAATTGTGTTGTAGAGAACCCCTATAGCATGGGGAGTTAACTATGTGGGACCACAACAAATTGGTTATTTAGAGAAAATTATAGAAAAGATCATTGTAGAGGGAGTCCACCTGTATTCTCTTGGTCTGAGGTGCTCAAACTGCCTCACTTTGTTGAGGTTGGTGCAATCCTGAAGCAGGCCATATAACCCCTAATATTTACAGCTCCAAGTTGTACATTTGTAGGGGATATTGTGTGAACAGCCAGAAATAGGATAGAGTACATTGATCCAGAGAGAAATTTCGTCAAGAGAGCCTACCTGTGTTTGTAGTGTTCAATATTTGCTTGATGTGTGACGCATCATATGGACGAGGTAACCCACCGGCACGCACGGGTTATGAAGTATGGCACCTCATGTATATGGGATATGAAAAAAACCAGTTTTTTCTTTCCTTTTTCTTGTTTTGGGGTGAAGATTTTGGAGAAATAAATCCTTTGATTCCGCTATTTAATCCATGCGCGTAGGTTTAATTCATTTGTTTTCTTGGCATATCATTTCTTTAATTACGTTCATGAAAGGATTAAATAGCAACATAAGCCTCAATTTAACGAAGTAAAACTTAGGCATTGTCGCATTTTCACTCGTGCATCAATATGATTCATCTGTCAGCGAGCAACTAATTTCTTCTTCTTATAAAGAAGAAATTATTTCTTCTTTATAAAAAACATGGTGAGCTATATCCTCGAAAAATTGTTTCCCATTTGTAGGAAGTGCATCTAATTTGCCTCCAAGCTTCGAGTATGCAGGTGCGTGTGATACACGAGTGAATAGAGTGGCATAATTTTATGAGGCTGCATTATGGATTACCGTACTTCACTTTTCAATATTTTTTCTATCATGCGCTATTTGCGTTGAAGATCGGTCTTCAATCACTTGACCCTGAGGACGCTGTTGGAAATATGAGACACATTTGAGAAATGGCATGTTCACTGAATACATGCGGTTCTCCACATTTTTACCACCTTTATCTGTTGATGGCTAAATTGGAAATTGGTTCAAGTTTTCTGTGCACGAATTGAAAATTCCTGCATGCTGGCGAGGTTATAAAATACTAGATCCTGATGTAACGATAGTTCACACCACGCACATGCGGTACCCCACTGCCTGGAAACGCCTCATGCCTGTAAAATAGTGCGTTTATTGTGCTTCTTACGATTCATTCCTTTGTAGGTGTACAAATGTACCGGTAATATGAAATCCTCTCATAATCTTTCAAGTCCTCTCAACTTTTTCGAGAAGACCAACCAGTCCGTTAGAACTATCGCAGCCGCCATTAATTGACAGTCACGGCCGCCTGTGTAAAAAAGAACTACTAAGCCATCGCGTAAATTTCCAGCCGCAATAATGTACATCCGTCGGATGGTGCTAGGAACTACGTCCAAGCTTCCAAGGTCACGTTCGCCGCGTGATCCAGAGGCCATTGAGGCGTAAGAACTCGAATTGGGCCTGAATACGTATTCCCGTGAACTGAACTCGCGGCCCGTGTTGCTACGCAGTAGGCCCGTGACGTTCCTCGGAATTGCTTCCTCTGGGCGGCATACCGTCGAGTCGTTTCCAGTGATTTCGCAGTATCGCTTTCCAGGTTCCATGGTGCACGCCGTGCCACCCTTGTGGAACGTGTTGCAAGCGGGTGCCCTTATTTTTTTATAAGGCGTTGTGAACCAGACCCTGTGGCCTGAGCGAGAACTTTCGCTTTCCCGCGCCAGATTCGCCGATTTCTTGTGCGCGGACCTCAGTAGGGGCACCCTGGACGTCATCTGCGAGACCCTCGGCAACCGAGAGAAACGCGCGGGTCGAGCATAAGGGGCAGGATATGCGTTCTGAGTCGCGAGGAGGGGGAGCGAAGGCCGTCGCGGGGCCCGAGTGCAGCTTCGAAGGTCCATCCGGCGTGCTTGCTGCCTCCTGGGCATAGCCGGTTTAACCATTTCCGACGGCGATGGATCGTGGGAATCTCTCACTAATATCAACCCATCTAACGTCAACATGGTCCAAACGGCTTTATATAATTTCTTCCGCGAGAACACTTTTCCTTGTTTTTTTTTCTGGATGTCCTTGAGGTGGCTTCGCAGTGCAAGTACAGTATTGTTTTGTAGCTTCGTGAGTGTCTGAAGGCTCTCCTTTAAAACCACTGTTTCGGTTATGCTGTACTGTTGCACATGGATACTTCGAAATTTTCCATGAACCAAACGAGGATGATAAATGCTGTTCGTGAGATCCCGTGCTCAAAAGTTCAGTTGAAACCAGCCAAGAAATTGATTGGGAAAATTATTCAATACATTTGGAAATTAAATGAGAAGTAGTTGTGCGCAACTGTGTCCCATCTTCCTCGTTTCATTTGAAGCCCTGAGGGAGAGCGCGATACAGGTGATGCCTTTCCAGACTGCAAAATCAAGAGATTACATGGATGCAGTCCTAAAACCGATTGAAAAGCCCTGTTATATTGTGAGCATGGTCAATACAAAAATGAAACTCTGATTCACTCTTGAAAATGTTGCTTAGTCCATTGAAAATTCTAAAACCATATTCCATAGACCCTGGGAAATGCATTGTTGAGTTCTAGATCCTGGCAGTATTGTTCCAAGATTCCATCAGTAGTTTACGGATTGGAAAGGAGTGAATTATAAAGTTAGGAATGTTCAAGATTCCTAATGTAATGCTGTGGCAAATGGCTTCCATTTGCTCTGTGAGGCTTGATAAATGCCATGCAGGTTCTCAAAAAAGGACGAATTCTGATCTACATACTGAATTTAAGTTTATTGATCGAATACTTGATTAATATTGAAGGACGCTTCCAAAAATTAATACATCGTCTCGCAATCCGTGTCAAAAACTTTCTTTGTTTTCAACAGCAGTCATTGGGAACCTGATGAACGAACGTTTGTTGGAGAAAAAATATTAGTTTTGAGAGTAATATAATAGTGTGATTATACTGCAGAGATGTCGAGAAATAATTGATCTTGAATGAAAAGTTTGTTGAGAGATTGTTCTTATTTTGGCATACAAGAGGTTATGTTGCTGCCATGCCTCGGTTCGACCCCGCCAGCGTGCCTGCGTGTTTGCGCGTTGCAAGGCGCGCGCGGTTCCAGGGACATGTATGCCAGTCCTTTGGATAACTCGTTATTCCGTCGCGGCAGTCGAGTTTGATGCGATGTGCCGGAGTCTGAATTCACTTTTCCCTTCGTTTCTTGTGCGCTCAGGAGTGTCCTTAAGACCGTAGTGGAACGCTTTCTTGTGCTTAGATATCATCTCGCGAGAGAAGCCGAACTTGGTGCGTGAATATTCGTTATCCGTGGTTCCCGAACTTTCCCCGCAGCATCTGATCCTTGAATGCCTGCATTGTTCGATCCCTGCACAGCTGTGCATCGTTCGCTTCCGCCTCCTTCGATTACGCCAGGTTGCACCCGTTAAACTTGAAAACTAATTTATTTTTACAGTATCTTCCTGTGGTTTTCGTACCGCCTCTTTCGGGTCTACCCCCTTTTTAGTTGGCTCTTCTTACATTTTAATGATCCTTTAGTCAGCTATCAATAAACAAGTATGGATCGCTCGTATTTATATGTGCGGGTATCTTGAAAAAAAAAGCAAGTAACTGCGATTGGACGAACCTCAGATTTTTCTGGCATAAGGAGAATTCGTGAATTCCGTCGGTGGGTAATAAATAATGCGAGGTACCTAGTTATTTTCAGTCTCCACGGATGGATTCATCTTTTGCTACGGTTATCGTCCAGTGACTCTGACCCTTGTTTACCTAAGGCCTTTTCATGTCTCGTTATTTCTTCGAACTTAGAACCAGTTGTAGGTAAAACAATGATTTCTTGATCGTTCACTAGATTCAAACTAGGTCTGAAAACGCTGACCTTTATTTCCGATATTCGTGCTCTGGAAGGATGAGGCCTGAGTTCGAAATTATTTTCCAGATTTGAGCTGACTTCAATTTTGTAATGAATAAGGTTTTAAGGTATTTAAATGAAAAACGCGCTGGGATCTGTTGGCATTTATTCCACTTACAGATGATCTGTTAGTGTGAAAACATGCTTCTGAATTGTTCCTACTAAACGCCATCGCTATGTCTTCGTTCATGCGAGAGCCACATTGCTCTCGCACGGGAAAGGCCCAAGAATTTTGGGGCCTATGCCCTCTCTCCTTTTCATGGGTTGTCCGAAATCAAGGTGCGGCGGATATTCACGGATAAGGAAGGATTAAACTTCTAATGGATTAGCGAGTAGACAGTTGGTTATCCCTTCTCCATTTGGGTGTGGAAGAGAAATCTGAGCAGCTCAAGATCTTTCAGGGACCTAATCAAAGTCGTGACATTTTTGTCCACAATTTTAAAGAAAAATAATCGTTGAAAGCATATTAAAATCATGTAGCATGCTTAATGGCTTGTAAAACGAAAAGAATAACAAATTCCGTCAGCGCAATCCTGGTGGTGATGGAGAACTAGATTGCAATAGGTTTTCTTTTGTGGATTTATTGCTTAATAAAAGAAACAGTAATTTTGTTGGGAACAAATTCATGTGAAGGTTAGGGAATGAAGCCAACTTAATTCCCATCTGAAGTTGGAGATGAAATTCACGAGACTTTATTAACGCCCCGCGTATGTACAGAACAATTCTAGAGGTGGAGAGACTTCCGGATTACAGAAAATTTCATGGTCAACTCCGGTGTTGTGGAGTTGGTTATATATTTTTTTCTTCAACCGGCCACCATGCAGCGTGGTGTCTGGTAGACGGGCGGAGACTGGTAACATTTATGGTCGAGTTGGAGCGGAAGGCGGGTTCGATCCCGGGGTTGCCTTATTCTATTGCCCAAGGTGACACGCGGAATTAAAACTTCGTTCCTACTTGGTTAACCAGCTGTCCGTGCGTGGTTGGTGATTTCCGTGTTTGTGTGAGAATGTTCCGTTCGGCTCTGTTGCCCGCGTGCGATAAGAACGGTGCGATGTTCCGAGACCACTTTCACTTGTTCAGGCGCTGCTCGCTGGATGACATGTTAGCGGCGCATCGTGGCATCCGCAGTTCGTTTGAGCAGTTGTGCGCTGATCGCGTTACGAGGAAGTGGAAATTGCTGACGCAGTATTTGGGCGTTTTCTCACATGCTTGCTTGGTGTTTTCAGGAGTGTTGTCTCGCAAGCGCGTCGCAGCTGCCCTGGTGTATACCAAGTGCTGAGTGACGTTGGATGCGATACTCATGATCCTGTTGGAAATTGGCGGCGAGTGTAGAAATCTGCTTCCCGGAAGACTAAAGCGATCGGTGAGTGCTGGTGTTCCATTTTCGCGTGTGTGTGCGCCTTGAAATTTGCATACACTCCCTCTTCAGCTACATATTTTCTCGGATGCAAAATGTTCTACCCCCCCCTCTCCCCCCCCCCCCCCCCCCCCCCCCCCCCCCCTTTTTCTCGGATGCAAAATGTTCTCCCCCCCCCTCCCCCCCCCCCCCCCCGAGTATGCCTGAAAGAATTATTATCGGAACACTATTGAGCGACTGGGACGCTAATTGTAAGAACCCTGATTGCTGAGAAGCGTAATCCAGACCTGACTGAAAAGAACATTTTTGCGCTTTGATATCCGAGAAATGACTCCGATGAGTCCCATCTCAAGCGTTCGAAGTACTGTACGCTTCATCTTATTGATGCTGCCTATAATTTATGCAGTTGAACCTTGATAACTCAAACGTCCCCAGCTCGAATACATGTACTGTATCTCTATAATGTAGTTTTTTTTCAAGTCCCTCTCCGAATTGCATGAAGAGCAGTGCATTAAAACCTCCTTAACTCAAAGGCTTTCCCTTCAAACCTCCGTAACCCGAATAATCTGAAGACCTTCGGGCTATCATTTTACTTTTTATTGGAAGAGGAAAGAGAAAATCAAGATACAGTATATGTAAAGATGTGATTTGAAAGGAACCGAAAGACTAATTCCGCAAATGAACCCTTGCTACCGAGTTCAGCATCCTGTTAACTCATCTGAGAAGAAATTCTAGGTCCAGAATATAACCTGTTACAATTTCATGTAAGTTCTCTTCCATTTCCCTAAAAAAAATGTTTCCCTAACTCGAATTTTCTGCTGCTTCCATGAAGTTCGATTGGAAGAGGTTCACCAGTACAGTATTCTAAAATCTAAATCGTGATTACGTTGAGATGTTTTGGAAATTTTTTCAATTGCATTTTTACGTTTCGTATTATCAGAGAAAAGGATAGGGACGAAGTTTACTGTAAAGTACTTTAAAATAATATGACCTGAAATATAGCATCATCCTCAAAGCAAGACCTTACTCGATTTTAAAGAAGTACGAACGGAGTAAGCCCGTCGCAATAAAAGTAATCCTTGGGTAAAAATCAAGGTTTTATCTTGAATACAGTATTATATTTTGCAATTGGTCTTTAAATTCGTGTTTGTGGCCTGCAAAAGCGAAGTTCTGAGCTCTGAGTTGTAGAAATTGGATACGCGTCAGATTTTTTGGTGGGTATGTAGCTTTTCATTGAAGATATTTGTTTTTTCATGATCTAGAGATTTAGATCGAAAAAGTGCCCGCTAGAGTCCTAGATCATCCACCGGAAAATGTGAAGAAAACGTTACCCCGAAATGTGTAGATCCTAGTGCGTTTTTTGAAAGGGCGGCAAACATAAAACTTGTTTAGTTTTAGAATAACACGTTGCAAGTGCAGTGGAAATGTTTTTTGATCATGACCTAAAAATACTGCTTTTGTTTTTGGAGACAAATTTCAAATGGGGTCTTGATTTATTTAACCTTGTGAGACATCCTGGTTTTCCCAAGAATATTTTTTAAGCTGAAGGAAAACATGTTCATTGGTAACCTGAAGGATAATTCGTCTTGAGCCTTACCCTGATCCTGTTTTATTTTACTGCTTATTACCTCCCAAGGACCTTAATTGATTCACTGAGATTGACATTATAATTTTGAGTTCTTGATTCCGTGCGATGTCATCGACTGGTTTAATTAATTAGGCAATTGTAAGAATGGTGTGGAAATTTATTTGTTTCCGGGTTAAACATCGGCAATTTTTGGAAGATTTAGCTTGGATAGATCGTATTCCTCTCGCAGTATCCGACGAAGCATGTTCCACTGGAATTACAGGCCTTCAATTGAAATCTCAGAAGAGGCGATCTTCTCCATTCGAAGGAAATAAATGATCTGCATGTGCAATGTGGACTTGTAAGTCATTCTTCGTAAAGTGATGGAGCTAATCAACAAATACCTTTTTCATTGCTTCTGGTCACGCCAAGATTAAGAATCGTCATGAGATGATATCATTCGTTTCTAGCTAGGGTTAGTTGCATTCTTCTTGTATATTCGTTCAAAGGGAAGAAAGTAGGGGGGGGGGATGACAAGGAACCCAGCTTTGATCCGATTCCAATATATGTTCATAACCCACGCTCATGCAAAGTGCGTATGATAAAATAGCTAGACTTCTGAAGTATTCGACATCCTAGTATTCAACATATCCGAAAGTTTAATATGCTTTTAATGATACAAAAGTGGGCAAATTTGACGCTGACTTACGTTTTTGAAAGTTCAATGCATGACTAAAAGAGTTCTATGATCCTTTGAGCATGTTCATGCTTGAACCCCATTCAGAACAATTTAAAATCTTTTTGTGTACGGTTGAACACGTCTTGAAGTGATGCAAATTTTAAACTTGAAATTCTGTTGGTATGTGCGGTTTTTTCACCGATTATCTACGTTTTCGCAAATCGGATTGCATATAATTTTATTTTTCTTCAGGAGAGCTCAGCTATGATCGACAAATATGCCCGTCTGTTCTTTGTTGTCTCGAATGTGAGCAAGGAAAATAAACACGTTTTCAATCGATTAAAGTCGCGATTACCCCCGGGGTTCTGGTGTAATCATGTACAGTGAAGTACAGTATTTTGAATACAGTGAATGATTTAATGTGTAAAAAGGTCGAGTTAATGATCTTAAATTTGGGTGATGATCTTGAAAGTCGGTATATGTGTCAGATTATGGAATATTTATTACTTTTGGCGTGCTTGGAATCATATTCACAACTGTATTTTTGTCATTATGCCGGTGGGCCAACAATGTTGCGCAAATTACGTATTCCTTACTGTCATCTGAATGAGGGGAAAGAATTTTTCCGCATGCCCATTATTTCGACGACTTCCTTGAAAGAAGCTTTACCTTTTTACAGGTGCAGCTAATGGGCGATCAGAACGAGTGTTGAGTTGAATTTTGATTTATTTTTTAATGCAAATTGAATCTGTTCCTGTTATTCCACTGAGCCTCTTCGTCTGTCACTTTCCCAGTTCTCCTTGAATATTTCCGCGTTCTTTTATGACGTGAGTTTAATCACAGGGTTAACGAATTTAATAGTAAGAATACGAGGCCACGCTTCCGTGAAGTTGCGCGAGAAGTACGGTATATGTGAAGCGGAAAATACCATGTACTGTACTTCACAATGTGTTGTACAGTATTCGTAGAAGGTCGCCGGGAGCCTCGAAATACGAGGGGTGGTACTGAAGTTACTGTATATTGTCTGTCGTATAAATATACGTATGCATTCAGAATGCTTTCACCAATGGCATTGTCTAGCCAGAAACATCTTACTTTTTTTCTTCATAATCGTGGGTTTTCCTAGGAAGTAGGGTTCATCTCTGCCATTCTGGCCGAGAAAAGGTTTTCAGGAAAAAGTAACTTTATTCAATTGTCTTTAAGTTTTTTTCCTCAGAATTATTCAACTTTTCCGTTTATCCGCTGCGCAGTTCACTACCTGCTGGAAAATAGGAAATTATTAGCTTTTTTAAGTGGGTAAATTATTTCAATCTGCTTGCTTTAAAATCCCTCACTTTTCTGGATTTTATTTATTTCAACTTTTCTCTGTTTCGGGAAACGTCGCGTGGAAACGTCAATTACAGTAATTGAGTGGCAATCGAAAGGCGAACTTGATTCGATTCTGTCTCGAAGTGCTAGGAGAAGGTTCTAAGCAGGATATGTTCCGAATGCATTCTTATTTGTTGACATTTCAGTGAGTTTTTGTAAGGAATGTCTCTTGATAGTTTTCTGAAAGTAAAAATGCAGAAAAATATTTTCTATGATTCAAGTGTTAAAACTCATGCTGAAATTTCAAAAAATACTGTACTCTATATCGATATTCCTTGAAAATTGATGCACATTTCATCTAGAAGTAATTTTGGAAACATTAGTAATACCCCGTATCTGTTTTGCCGCTGTTGGGGCCATTTGGGTAGCAGTCGAGGCTGCGGGAAGCTGCCCAAAGAAAAGAAAAAAAAAACATTCCCCGCATAGAATTATTACTATCCATCATTACCTTGCTTCTCACCGTTCCCGGAAGTAAAGCCGCGTCTAACACTTGTCCCGGCCGTTAGCTTCCTGGTTTCTTAAATGTCGATGAGGCATTGATAGAAGTGGAAATTCATAAATCTTATCTGCGTTACAGCGCTTAGTTACCTTACTATATTAAAGCGAATTCAAGATGCCTTTGATTCGACTAAGTAACCGTATTTTTCAGCCCTCCGAAATTGAAAAAAGAGAAAATCCAGTAAAATCTCGTTACAGCAAAATCAGAGGGATCCGAGAAAAAAGTTTTTCATAATGGATTGTGCGTTACATTGAGGTTCTTGGTTTTTAGAACATTTTGGAAAGTTATTGGGGAATAGGTTATGAATTCTGGTAATTGCTTCCTGAAAAGATTTACTGTATTAGGATTTGTCATCATTTCCCACTCTTCTTGGTGAATTAGTGAGAAACAATTTGATAAATGCGATACCCCTCTCATTTAAATCTGCCCTGTAAAACTTAGAACCCTCCTATCTTGATAAGATATGAACAGAAAAAAATTTGTAAGACGAGCACTTACACATTCTTTATGGCATTCTGTGAAGTAGAGTAACATTTTTTGAAACACACTGTAGTGTTAATTTGTCAAGAAAGGAGGCATTTTCGTAAATTAAACTAGAAAATTCTGACGCAATTTTTCGTTTTTGATCAACGTTTTTTGCTGCGCTAGTTGAAATTTTCTGAAAACTAGCCAACATTCATATGGCCCATGCACACATTCAAGGCAGAAAATATTTTCAGGTTGGATGGTTTTTTTTAAACTTTTTTTACTGAACTAAAAACGTCAGTTTTCACGAGATTTTCATGACATGGTTTCTATTAGAGAAATCCGCTGGGACCCTTGAAAAATTCTTTATTAGGAAAATTCGTTATCTTCGTACAACAAGATTCGTTATAACGGGATTTAATCTTTAATCTTGGTACTAAATGTCACTACTGTACAGCCAAGAATCTTCGTATATTCCCGAAATTTCGAAGTCAACGAGGCGTATGGACTTCGCAGAGAATAGTGATGTCAAATGGAAAAACTTCAATTCCTGTAAATGGTCAAGATAATTTTAGATCTTCGTAAATATCTTGTGAGATTTCAAATTGTACATAGGTAGGTGCAGGTAGTACAGTACGGTAAATCGATTTTTCCATTAAAATACTGTATATACATTACTCGAACAATGTATTCAGTTCAGCGGCGAAAGAAGATGTACAGTACAACTTTTCTGTGTAGAATATTTTTCACATCTACTTTTAGAATATCGGCGTTTACAATTATCATGTAGCACTTGCGATTTTCAGTAAGGAAAAAATTCAACATAATTTCGATGGTTTTCACATTTTTTGATCGCCGTTGAAATTAGCCTTTTGTGAGCAAGTTAAGGCTTCATTGGTTCCAAAACACCGGTTCCATCTGTAATGCGTCAAAATCAGGAAATATATATTTTATGGTTACGTAAATACGGAAGTACAGTAAGTGAAACTGCGTTTGGTGAACAAATTGGAACGTAGGTTCGTGTGGAGTAGATTTTTGATAGATTTTCATTCACTCTTGACAGCCTCTCAAGTTCTGAGAGTTGACGGTGGGAGAAAATTTTCGAAACTGAGTTGGAGGAGCCCTTTGATTGGTGAAGTTTTAGAAGTAACCACGAGTTGCTGAACATGAGAAGTCTGACGCCAATTCTGGAGGAGGGTGTGTTCTCCCTTTACCTAGGGTGCATCAGAGCTGACGTCACAGAGGAATCATTCCCCTTCATGGTTCGTTCTCATCTCTTTTTTCCTCTCTCTCTCTCTATCTCTCTCTCTCTCCCGGGTTTCCTGGTCTTGAGTTTCACTTTCACTTCCCGGTGAAGCCTCTGTAAATCAAGCATCAGTCCCTTGTTCTGTCTCCCGTGTCTCCCCCGTACTCCCACGTTCTCGTGTGATCTTTGTCTCATCCGGAGATGGAAATCGGTGTTCGCCGTTCAAGGTAGTCGTGTAAATTATCCGAGGAAAAAAATGATAGGATGTTCGCAAGTTTTGATTTGAAACCCTGTGTCTAGCTTTGCCGGAAAGCGAAAGGTCGAGTGCTCTGTTTTACCCGGGGTTACCGGATCTAATTGCATGTTTTGATGAAAGCAGGCGCTCCTTTCTCGAGGAACTAGGAGAAAACTCTTGAATTCATTTACTTTCAAAAGCCGTTGTCTATTTGCTTAGTTGACGCTCTTCTTTAATCCCTGACGTTTCTTTGTTGCTTCATGATGGTGGTGGTAATCGTAACCTCTCGTCTTCTAATCCGCTTCTACTTCCATTCCGTGCTCTTGTGTTGGAAATTGGAATCCACTCGCAGGGGAAAATGTAGACCGGACATGTGAATGCTTACAGCAAGATAAACCCAGCTTTTGAATCGATAAGTTTTCACAAAACTAACATTTCTTAAAAAATAAAATAAAATTCGCTCGATTTGTGTGGTTACCGCAAGGATTCTCCGGGTGTCTTGTTCGATTGAAAGGTGCGGTATTTGAATGATAAGAACCTCTCGCCAGCTGGTGGTACTCAGGCATGTGACAGGTGGGAACCCCAGTTTTTTTGTTTTAATGTAAGAGGCGTTGTTGTTGAAGGCAGGCTTTTCGGCGTATACCATGCCCGTATGTTTTTTGTTCCGGGTATTCGGTATGCTAGCAATACCGTTTCTGAAAAACCACAAATGGAATTGAATGGTACGAATAAGTCTTCAAACTTTCGCTGGTTCTTCTATCCCGAGTTTCATTCACTCGATTTCTTCGACTCAATTTATAAGTTGGAATCGGAAGCATTTTTTGTTTCTGAGGAATTATGTTTTGTAGGGAGTTTAGATTTGTACATTATTCTTCTGATTGTGTCTTGGTGAAATTTATGGTGGACAATTTTGCTTTTCTGCATCAAAGCTTCGCAGAATTTCTGGGACTAGCTAGTTGGAGCACGTCTTGCGTGATATCTTGTGTGTACAAAACATTAATTATTGAACTTTGCGGAGGAATCTTTTCTCTCTTAATTCCTGGTAGTGTTTCAAAATAAGTGGGTACATGTTAGTTGAGTACTGTATTCAGTAACGTGTATCCTATCGAGTCCCATCTAGTGTGTCTGATTTATTGTTCGGTACAATCTTCCTGATGACTGATGAGGGCTCAACAGTAGAAATGCCAGGCCAGGTGTAGTGCACGGTTCCACTTTAATTGTTTAAAAGACTCCGTTTTTGTTTTTGAAGCAACTTGAAAGCGAGTTCTTTCGCTTGACTGCCGGGGAATCCAGTTGTGTTTTCTTCAGAGCTTCATCTAGGCTTTCGAAGTTACTGGGCATTCATCTTCATGAAGCGGCAAGCTGCGAGTGGTACACGTTGTTTGTTGGTACCAGTCGCTATCACTCCCTCTCATTTGGCGCACATCAGCCTTGGGGGAATGTTGACGTATTCCCGCTATTGACGCCCAGATAACCTTAGTTGCATGCCCAGCTGAGGCCCCGAGGCGAAATAACTTTCCAACTCACCTGTCTGAGAGCTGCTTCCCTGTAACACCGAGCGGCCGTTCCATCACTTCCTTTTCCGCGTGGACCATCTGTGCGTTCCTCGTCATTCCGTGTCTCGCGTTTTTCGCGTTGTCCGTCAGTGTGCGATGTTGGTCTTAGATAATCCCACCGCGCTCATGTAATCCCGGGGAGAGTGGAAGTGAAAACCGTATGCAGCCCCGTGGATGCGCGCCACATACCGCAGGACTTCCTCGATGTCTTTGTTTTTCTTCTGTCCCTCTCTCTTTCTTTTGTGCTGAACGGAAAATGTAGGCGACTGCGGAAGTTCGACGTCGAAAGAGCGTGTTTTTCGTTTTCCTACCAGCGGAATGACTTGAACGCGTGCGCGGGACGAAATGCGCGCCTTTTTTCCATTATGCGCGAATCCCGGAAGAGGCGTTCTTTATTGCGTAGCGTCAATCGTAACGGCCAACGTTAATTCTGCACCAAATGCAGCTGAACCTCGATAACTCGAACCTCCTCAAGTTGAAGACCATGTGGAATTTTTCACAAGTCCCTGTCTGCATTCCCTGAGAAACGATACATTAAAAACATCCGTCTTTCACAGGCTTTACACCTCAAACCTCAGAAATTCGAATTTTCTGAAGGCCTTTTTCCTATCACTTTATTGACGTAGGAAAGATAAAAGCCAGAAAATGTAGCATGTTACTCTGCAAGGATAATTTCCTCGAATTTCAGTATCCTGTCAACTCATTTGAAAAATAACTGAAGGCCTACTGTATATCACTGTATTTTCCTGTGATTTATCTCTCTTTCCCCAACATGAATGCTTGTTTTCCTAACTCGAAGCCTCCCCGACCCGAATTTTGTTGCTGGTCCCGTGAAAATCTTGAAGAGGTTACAGTGTATCGAACTTTTGATATCGATGGTGAACCACCTTGAATGTTGATTTTCATTTTTTTTCTATGAACAACAATTTTTTTTGCCGTGGGGGAACTTTCAGTGTTCGGGCAGCTCTGTTACGTCGAATATGTTGAGCCCCTTGAATTTTATGCAGTAAGTACTTTCATATACAGAAGTACAGTAGTATTCAGAATGCTGCAGTATAGTGGAAAAAATCCCATGTAACACCTCACGTGTAGTTATGCAACTTTTTCTACGTATTATGCTACAGATGTTTGAATTGGGAAACTAATGAAAAATCAATCATACAAGTTTCTGGTTTTCTCTGCAACGACGTGTGTATCAGTAATAACCCCCGTAAACATTTCTTCATAATGCGTGCTTTTTTCCTCCATGATCTAAACCCGGAAGAGTATGATTTATTGCGTCACATCAATGATGGAATCGTTTTTTTTCGAATCTCGAATGCTGAAAGTAGAGTTGGACCCCACTTCAGGACGAATTTGTTCGCTGTTATACTTCATGCACCGACTGACATTTTAAGTTTGATGAAAACTACAAAATTTTATACTTCTTTTTCGTTGATTTTAATTATACGAAATGATCGTACATTTTATCCCTTTCATGAGTGTTAATTACAAAGTGATACTGTACTTGCATATAAAGTACAGTAGTGTCTAGAAAGTTAGTGTGCGGTTCAAAAGTTTCAAGTAACGCTTTTAAGAACAGTTTATTTAAAATTTGATTATGTCGTTCGTCCTGTATCAAATGCTGAATTTTTTTTTCAAGTCTAAGGCGATCGTGAAACGTTCGTCAGACAGAAACTTAATCTCTGGTATCCCTGAGAGGAAAAATTCGTGTCATACCCGGAATATTTTTATTTTGAATCTGTTTTGACTTCAATGAAAAGAAAAGTGTCGAAGTCGTGTAGTGAATTACAGGTAATTTGGGCTTGGAAGCTTAGATACCACGTTTCGTATTCTCAACTGTCCATGGAAATGTTTGTTTCCTATTCTGATTGTTAGACTGACTTTCAAAGTTGGAGACAGAAAGTGTGTTCAGAGCAAATGCATAGTGATTTTTGTGGGGTGTTCCGGTAGTGAATGCATTTTTTATTTTATGGTTTTCTCTTTCGAGAAGGAAAAGTTTGAGTGCTCTCGCAAATTAATTAACGGTTGGTAGTGGATTCATCTGAGTCCCCGCCCGAATCTCGGCTTTCAAATCCCAGGCCAGGGCGTTTTCCCCCGCCGCAAACTGTTCGTCCAGTTTTTTCCTCCTCTTCTGTCTGTGAATAGAAATGTGGACGAAGATGCTTGGAGCTCAATTAGAAAGAGAGGGAAAAAAAGATTGGTAGCCGAGAAGTGTGGATGGAGACAAAGCGTGGAACTGGCCATGCAGGGCGACCGCGTGAAAGTGTAGCTTTCAAAGTTTTGTTCGCCATTTGAACGCGCGGCTCTCGGACGTGCTTTCTAGTCTCTCATCCGCGATCTTGTCCGGTGATGGGAGAATCTCGAGTCTGATTCTTCTCGCGTCTTTTTTTTTCTTCCTAAATCTTCGTGCGAGATTTTTGTGCGATTCAATTTAACATGTGTACCCATTGGTTGGTGTCTCCTAGAAAAGTTTTTGGGTCTCGTGTATTGGTGTATTGTTGTGATGGTGGAAGAGTGAACGGATGGAAGGCCACACTCCGTTATAGAATATGTTACGGGGAAAAGCACCCTTGGTTGTTATTCCACGAATTTTCTTTCGCTTCAATTTTTTATGCTCTTTTCCAGTGAACTAACTTTAGATTTTTCTTGATGGTTTTGTTGCTGTAAGAGTGGACTGATGAAAGGCTCCAGAATCCAATGAAAAAAGTTTCGATAGAATTCCACAAATTTCCTTGAAAATTTATTCTCCTCCATTAATCGAAGTCTAAAAGTTTCTGGGTTGTTCCAACACCTGAAACTTTCCATTGGATATTCAAAGCTCGCGCGCCTTGCGATGCCGGGAATTTATTTTGTGCGCAAAGCTATGTCTTTGTTTCGCGTTGTGCAGTTTATGTGCACGTTTTTCCCCCGCCATGATGAAGTGAGCTTTCGTGAATTCATTATAAATAGAAGACGGTATTTATTACGTACTGTACTTTAATACTTTTAAGAAATTATTCAGATGTTCAGGTTTTTAAGAATATATACTGAAGTTACCT